ATGGCATCTTTAAAAAAATTCCATATGCTAATTGTAATGCGCCAGTCTGCCAGTGCCAGATGCAAAATAAGTCTCCCAAATTACCCCTGGGCAGGGCTGGGCCCTCCTGGCAATGGGGTAATCTGGGAAACTTGAAATAAAACTGTATTTTAATACACTTGGAGCATGCAAAGTGTAGGTACTCATCCATTAATACCTAACAGTACCTACTTTGAACTTCTGAAATTATCCTCTTGACCTCTTCCTTTGCACTTTGTAGATGATGTAGATGTAGAAAAAATGACATTTTCTGTGATTTTTGCTTTTTTTCATATATTACCATATCCATGGACATGCTATTGAGCATTTACAATGACCTTGTCCACTGTAAGCTTCATATCAGCAGCCATTTGCATTTTCTCTTTATCTGTAAGCTTACAGGACAGGACTGGCCCACTGGGCGTGTGATCACTGTGCCACTCTAGAAGCATTCTTAATTACCATCATCACATGGAATTTACGAGCGCGCCTATCCAAATTGGGAGCGCAGCAACATCACCCAACCAGAGTGGAAATCTAAGATTAGAGGTTCACTTGAAAAAAAGCATTCCGCCTTAAAAAAAAACGTTCCAGGCAAGTGGCAACTAGAAACAGGTTTGCAGGTCGTCAGAAATTGGCCTCGGCATGAACGTTACCTCAGGCAACACAGAGAAAATCCCAATATTGTTAATTGTGCGCATCACTCATGGTCAAGCAAGAGGAATCTACTGAAAGAAGAGTACACGTTGTGCTCAGTAGAAGTTACAAGGTCACTACTGATACCAGTAGAGACTCATCACTCACAGTCACCGATGAGCAAGGAAGATCTTGGGATGTTGGGAAGCATGGTGGCAGGGAATTATTGTGAGTACTTATTGGTCCACCGCCATGCGGCGGTCTTAACCCTTCGCAAGGCCCCATGCCCTTGGCCCTTGGGCCCCTCTTGCAAGTTGCAATCTAAACTCAACGGTTCGACCCCATGGTCTCATCACAACTCCCTTTAGAAATATGTGGAGTTTCAAAATTGATATAAATAAATCAATAGATATTTGAACTGGGAAATCCCTTAGTTACTTACGTTGGTTCCAGAATGATATCAATGACGTAAAAAATGACAATGACATCGGTTAAGCCTCAGCCATGATTCTAGCTCTGCTCAGTCCTTACACTTCTACCTCATAATTCATGATGTTAGAACTTCGATGTTCAAATGTTGACACTACTGTCAAGTGTCAATATCACAATCAAAATTATTTCACAATCAGAAATATGCAGGGTTGGCAATGATTAAATCAAAATGATTAAATCATGTGATTAAATCACTTGATTTTTTTATAAAAAAATCATGATTTTTTTGATTTTTTTGATTTTTTTGATTTATTTGATTTTTTCATATATTTAAATATATTGAGTGGCAGTCTTTAATTTATATTGAGGTATTNCTAAATCAAATATTTACTTATAATTTCCATCAATGGTTGCAGAATCATCCAGCTAATTTCTTGTTATTATTGCAGCTTTTTGTTGTCGCCTGTTTTCTGTGCTGCGCTTTGAGTCGGTCATCCATGAGTTTGATCCTTACTTCAATTACCGCACCACCAAGTATCTGGCAGAGGAGGGCTTCTACAGTTTCCACAACTGGTTTGACGACCGAGCCTGGTATCCTCTTGGCAGGATAATTGGTGGTGAGTATGTGCTGTCTCTTATACACATCTAGATGTGTATAAGAGACAGGTCTCAAATAGTTACTAGTTATGAAGGGTGGTTCCAGCAGGATGGGGCTACAGCTCATACAGCCCGAATGTCACTCCATGTTTTGAAACGCATGTTCCCTGAGGTCTGGTGTCTGAGGGGCGATTTATAGTGGCCTGCAAGGTCACCTGATTTGAGCAATTGCGATTTCTTTCTTTGAGGACATCTAAAAGAAAGGGTGTTCAGAAGTCGCCCTCACACCCTACCACAGCTAAGGGGACAGATTATTGCAGCAGAGGTTATGGCCATACCTTGCCATATGTGTGAACGTGCTGTAGGAAACTTCCGAGAACAACTCCAACAGTGAGATGCAGCTAACTGACACCATCTTCCTGATATTGTTTTCAAAACATAAGTATTTTAAATGGTATGTTACCTCCATTACTCTTTTATTTTGCCTCAAAACTGCTCAATCAGTTCTGCCCCACCCTGTTTAAGCTAGCTAACACATTTAAATTGTATATTGTAATCAATATATAACAAATAGTCAAATAGTTAAAGACTACTTTTAGCCTTATAAGAATTAGCTAAGCTGCTAGCTATGTACAATGTATTGCAACACTTGATGCCTCTGTACCAAAAACATTCAATTTATTGGAACCTAATACACACTAAAGGCAACAAGTTTATGTACCAATTTGTCCTTCATAGTACATTCATACTAAACCATGAATAACAATACCTCCAAATAAATTAAAGACTGCCACGCAATATATTTAAATAAATAAATAAAAATAAAAAATCATGATTTTTTTTATAAAAAAAATAAAGTGATTTAATCACATGATTTAATCATTGCCAATCCTGCTTAAAAGTCAGTGTTGGACACTGGAACGTTGTGCTGTTTGGTGTGAGTGCACACAGCCAAATGAGGAGGGTGCGAATGTAAATTCCCAGTCCTATAACTCCTCCCTCTATGCTCAGCGACCCTAGTGTAAAAGTTGCATGCCGTGGACTGGGCAGTTACTATTGCGCCCTCTTCATTCGGCTGTGCGCACTCATGCCAAACAGTGCAATGTTCCAGTGTCCAACACTGACTTTAAGGTTTTAGGTTATAGTTCTGGTGCTTCCAATCTGCGTATTTTGGAATCATTGTATATTTTTAAAGAGAAGCCTAGTTTAAATGCTGCCTATAGTTCTTATCGATTAGAAATTGTGAATAGATAGGTACATAATTTATTATTCTGCCCTTTGTCTGTAAATTTTGGTTTTTAACTTCTGTGTTTTTTTTACTCCAAACTTTATTGAATTTCTGACTTTATTTTTGATCTAGATTTATCGAACTGACGATGGAGCTGGTCTCCAAAAACGTTTTCAAGAAAGATATGCTGAATTTTTGTGGTCTTTTCTTCGCTTTTAAATTTCTAGTGAATCTGCAATTAAAGCAATCTAGTGACATTATTACTAATATAACATTGCATTTAAATAATTTTCATTTCTTTAAAATAAGTAAGGGTTAGGCTGCTCCTAATACTTAATACCAGTTGCAATTCTGAGCTGGCTATAATTTTAGTAACTAATGTAGTAAATATTAATTTAATTAATTAAATTTACTCAATTAATGTTATTATGAAAAATAATTAATAATAATAATAATATTATTAATAGTCTATATTAACATGTTGAACATTAACATATTCAGGAGAGACAAGGCAGAGACCCAGCCCCAGTCCTAGCCAGCTGCCAGTGCAGCTACTGAAACTACTCAAGTCTCAATTACTTCAACTTTGTCTTGTTAGTCTTCACCATAAAATTAAGTAGACAATTGTCACTCATTCAACCATAGTTAATGTTATTTTTAATGTTAGTGTTGAGGTTTTATTGTGTGGAGATTTTTTTATTATCTAATTTTATATTGTAACCCCTCCATCCCATTCATCTATCTTTAACACTTTCTTGCAATGGATATGTAAATCTCACATTTTTAAGCTCACTTATGGTGCCAAAAGCATGAAACTGGAATTTATTCCGTTCAATTCTGCCTTGTGGTGAATTTATACTATTAATATTCCTCAGTCACATGTTTTTCCCCTACCTACTTGCAGTCAAAGTCTCAACCAAAATGTTTCATTTTAGTTAGAATAGATTCCTATTAGTTGGAATAGAAATGGGGAAAAAGCGAAAAACTATAAGATATATTCCATGCCTTCTTTGATTTTTGAAGGCCAGTGACATGTAAGTGCTAATGGCATTGACAGTATGGTATTTATTTAAAATTTTTGGACTGTAACAAAAAATATGCACAATTTGTATTCATGCAGAATCATGAAATTTTGATAACCTGCAGTAAATACTATACCTAGCAAAAATAAACTTACTCAAAATAGATAAAAAAAACTTCTCTTGATGCACTTTGTAGCAACACTTGTGAAATGCAACTCAGCTAGTTATCAAGTTATCAAAAGAAACTTCTTGATAAACTCAATAATGTGATTATAATCGGTCAACTTGAGTTGACCAAACTAAGCTGTCAGTCAACCCTAAACCGCAGTATGTCATTCTCCGAGAACATAACTTTCAAATTAAATTGTACATGAACTTTGACTGTAGCAACCTGAGGACATTTGAACAACACAACAAAGAACATTTTAAAGTTGTCATACATGACAGCAACCATTAGTGCAAGTCTTTTGCGCTCACTAGCATACTACGTATCCTTTTTGGTAAGTAGGCTTGTGACAATATTGCTCCGCTTACTCATGTCAGGTAGTAGAGGGTTAAACATGCCAAAAAGCCCTATCATGTGTCAAAACAAAATCTGCTAGGTCCAACATTATTATGTTTTGTTTGAGTTCAGTTGAGTCTATCAAATGATTGCTCATGAACCAAGATCCTTGAGGCATATATGGTGTTTAAATTTGGTCAAATATTGTTTCATAACTTATTAACTTTATTGATAGTTGTTTCTTGCCATTACTTTGACAGGTGGAGTGCAGGAATTGCAGGAAAATTCCTATTTATAAAGTCATGCTCTTCAACCATTAGCTTGATTTTTGAACAGGAAATTTCACTCATTTACGTCATATTATTGATAGCTTTTGTGCATCATAATGGCCAAATCTTCCATTTTGTCAAGCCTTCGGGTATCATGGATTATGCAACTGTCCGTCAAGAAACAAGACACCCTACTGAAGATGGCAGTGCTCACCTTGGCAGCATTATTATGCAAGTATTTTGTCAGATCTGTTGAAATAAATTATGTAAATCTCAAGTATTTACCTTTGTTTTGTTCTAAATGTTTCATAATGAAGAAATATTTTTCTGTTGTGTACATGGTTGCATGGGAAGGATCTTTAGTGACAAGTTAAAAGGCCTTCAAATAAATTGTTTGCTAGTGAGACTTAGGTATTGATTGCTTGTGTATTTGGTGGAATTTTCTGCAAGCTTTTGCATCCAAAGAAAAGTTGATTTCTTTTCACAGGTCTTAACAAACTATACTATGATTTGAATATTTAATCAGGATTCTAAATCAAATATTTACTTATAATTTCCATCAATGGTTGCAGAATCATCCAGCTAATTTCTTGTTATTATTGCAGCTTTTTGTTGTCGCCTGTTTTCTGTGCTGCGCTTTGAGTCGGTCATCCATGAGTTTGATCCTTACTTCAATTACCGCACCACCAAGTATCTGGCAGAGGAGGGCTTCTACAGTTTCCACAACTGGTTTGACGACCGAGCCTGGTATCCTCTTGGCAGGATAATTGGTGGTGAGTATGTGCATTTATTCCTACCATTATTCCTTAGAAAAGATTTACAAATTGATTTACCTACTACGTCCTTCGCCAAGTAAAACATGGATTTTAAACATTGGTGTTCATTGAAAAGGTCAATTTAAACTTATACAAACCATTTGTTTTTCATTTTGTATTCACCAAATTTAAATTGAATACGTATTCACTTTCTCAACTTTTTACATTCAATGGTGAAAATGCACACTGATATCAGATTCTATGTTATCTGGCAATATCTGGCAGGAATTTTGAAAAGATTGCACTTTACTTCTCATGGTCTTTAATTATTTGTACAATAAGTTAATTGATTCTTCTTTTATTTTCAGGCACCATCTATCCTGGTCTGATGGTGACAAGTGCCATCATGTACCACTTGCTCAACGCCCTGCACATCTCTGTTGAAGTGCGCAATGTTTGTGTGTTCCTTGCCCCGTTCTTCTCATCTCTTACAACACTCGTGACCTACCACATCACCAAAGAGCTCAAGGTGATGCTTGTTTTGTTCTTCTATCTGGGTCAAAATCTTGCGTTGATTCCCAATTCTACCTTCCACCTAAATTTTGGCTCAAGTATGTATGTCTATCAGGCATTAATTAATTTGAAAATTTCTTTCTGAGTATCTGAAATTAATTTTAAAATTTTTTGTCGTTGAGACAGTGTACATCACAGTTATGAAAGGAAGTTTTTATTCATCTTGATGCACAAAGATGCGTTTTCCCTAAAATTTAGTCCATGTTCAAAAAGTTTAGTCCACTAGAATATTTACTGATTTAACATACTTTGTAAATGGTGAATTAACTTACTTTGATTTTTATTGTGATATTTAGATGAAAATCAGCTTGCACTTGTTTCTTAATATCACAATAATACTCTGTTTTACTTGTATTTTCATGGGAGGAACGTCTTCATTAGTTGTTGCAAGAAGTTTGTCTTGTCTCTAGACTCTATATTAAAGATCTACTCATGGCAAATTTCAATAGAATCTTCTTACAGAATGGCTCTCAAGATTTATTTTCCGAATAATAAAAGGAAAAGTTGAGCTTCGTCCCCATATCAAGATTGCCAATGTTTTGGAATTAATGAAAGTCTCGATGTCGGCGTCAGTGTTCCTCAATATGTTCCAAATATGTAGAGAGAATAATTTACATGCTTCTATACAGGGTCCTGGCGCGGGGCTCACAGCTGCTGTCATGATAGCCATCGTGCCCGGCTACATCTCCCGCTCAGTGGCTGGCTCCTATGATAATGAAGGTACGTCAATCATTAGTTGAATATGTGGCATACGTTGAGGAAAGGTGTGAATATTAACATGAATATGTTCTACTGAAATTTTTGTTCAAATCACTGTTAGAAACCAAGAGCAAATTTCACGATTTTGGTGAATAGATTCACATGTTCAAGTAATACTGAATTCATTCAAGTTTGAACAAAAGCAATGTCATGAAGAAAGATAATAATAAGTGATTTTCAAAATAATTTGCTGTTCATTAAATAATAACCCTGACGAAGCCTTGATTAGCATTGGAATTGTTTATAGCACGAATGCAACATGAACGGGAAAGCTGTGCATGTAATAGTGCTTATCCAATCATAAAAGTTTCCATTAATTCATCCGCTCAATTAATTTGTTAACTAGCTGTATAATAGACTTGCTTAATAAGAGATACAAGATACAGGATGATTCATGGAAACTTCCTGATTTGAAAGCTCAATATAAAAATAACTAGTGATGATATTATTACAATATAAATTTAACTGAAAAAAAATCACCTGAATTTTTGTATCACTTAGTTTTAAAGATGATGTCAGACAAATGATGGTCACCATTGGCAATGTAATCAGTTAGTCAATTTTTGAAGTTCCGTTCAACTTATTCAAGAATATTGACGGGAAATGGGTTGGCGTATGTTGTTCTTCAAATGAGGTAGGGTCCTTGGACAGTCATTGTAAACAATTGATTTATGATAGCCCTACAAAAAATGACACGGAGCCAAATCCGGGGGTCTGGTCGGCCAAAGAAGGTCCCTCTCAGGGAGATGAGGCGCTCTGCAACATGTTGTCTCCAAAGACACACGCTCACAAGATGCTCACCCTATCATGGTTCACGCTAGACTGCTGTCCCCAACAGCATTGCCGCCAACTTGCGTCACGTTACAGCCAGCCCACGCCACGTAGGCTACCGGCGTTCCCCGAACCAATCAGAGCGCAGCACTAAGCCATCTCACGACCAAACAAGTGTGATGTCACAACCATTCGGCAACACCAGCAGACCAATCAGATATTAACACTTTGAACATCGCACTTTTTGGTCTGGGGCTTTATCCGTCATCATAATATCATCGCACTGAATTGGCCGTGGCTTCATCCTTACCAGACATCCCTGATATTCAATTCAGTCAGTTTTGGCAAAAAAAGCGTCAATCATTTACGTGTCCTGAGCTGCAGTCACCGTTAGTGGGCGTTCGTTTTCCTCAAAGAAATAAGAGCAATTATGCTGATTATGGAACGGCCATTAGAAGAGTACTCCTTGACAGCAAACGCACGCTGCTCACTTGTCCTATGCATAGGTGCAACTGACTAGGCGGGATACAAAACTTCAAGACATTGCCTTTCAAATGAAATATTCTTTGCCCTTTTCCTACAATATCTGCCTGCTCGACGCGAAGTACAAAACATGAAGTTTCCGTGAACCATCCTTTAGGTACATAATAATTTTTGAAGTCCGACGTTGCTGTGTTGTTTTTGAATATTTTCATTTTGGATTGATGATGCAGTATATTTCTTTTGTTTATATCTGCATTAGAGTATTCAGTGTGATATAGAGTATTCAGTGTGATGTCGAGTAAACAGCGTGATGTTGAGTAAGCAGTGTGATTAATGAGCTCTCTTCATGCCAGGTATTGCCATCTTCTGCATGCTGCTCACTTACTACATGTGGATCAAGGCAGTCAAGACTGGCACCATCTTTTGGTCGGCCTTGGCAGCGCTGGCTTACTTCTACATGGTCAGACACACTAGTCCCACGATTTTATTTGCAATGAATGTTAATTTTATTACTGGAGTTAAAATAAAGAAACAACGAATGTCTAGAACATTTAACGATCATCATAGTCATACTTCAATTCCCTGATGCATATATGAGATATATCTGTGAATGGCATGCAAATTTCAAAACAAAAATCAACAGTTCGAGTGTGTTTTTTTTTCCTAATAGTGTATTGAATTTTGTTGGTTACATAAACTTGTGGTGGACAGGTGTCATCATGGGGTGGCTACGTGTTCCTGATCAACATCATCCCCCTGCACGTGTTAGTGCTGATGATCACAGGTCGCTTCTCTCACCGCATCTACGTTGCGTACAGCACACTCTATGTCATCGGCACTATTCTCTCCATGCAAATTGCCTTCGTGGGCTTCCAACCTGTCTCCACTTCAGAACACATGGGGGTGAGCTTATTACGTACTGCCGTCTTGCGTGAAAGTGATATCTTTGTTTTTTTATATGTATATTTTTTTAATTCGGAAATTTCATTGTCATATTTTATTTTTCAGGCCCTAGGAGTTTTTGGGCTGTGCCAAATTCATGCGTTTGTGGACTACGTTCGAGCACGACTTCCCAAGGATCATTTTGATGTGCTTTTCAGAGGCGTGGTCACGACTGTTGCTGGTTAGTGTGACAAATTTTGTTTGAATGAAGCAGCTATGATGCTAAGATCATGGTATTAAGTGCTGATTTGTCTCAATCTTACAGCAAACTCATTTTACTTATACTGGGTTTTTCTTTAACTCAGGGATTAGTCTGCTATTGTCTAAACTCTAAAGATTCTAATCTGATCGTTTGAAATTTACAGCTTTTGGTTATTTTTTTGGATTCTTCGTTTCAGGCGTTGATATCTACGAAATTATATCAATGATCTTATAATTCTTTCTTCATGCCTCGCATTTACTGCAGTACTGGAATAAATTGTTCGGTTTACCAGCCATTTGTATTTTATTCAATTAATTCACGAAAGTTTACAAAAATCTATGATAAAATACGGCTGCATAGTTCATGATTGTATTTAACTTTATTGCTTTCTTCAAATTAAACATCATTGATCATCTTTATGTTATCTAAGTTTATATGAAATGAAGCTGAGTAATTGATTGCTTCTCATTAATCCATCACGCATATAGCGCATAAACTTGTGTTGTGCAGGCGTTGCCGTACTTGGAGCAGTGGCGCTCACTGCTATGGGTAAGATCGCCCCCTGGACCGGCCGCTTCTACTCGCTACTCGACCCTTCCTACGCCAAGAACAACATCCCCATCATCGCCTCGGTGTCCGAGCACCAGCCCACCGCTTGGTCCTCGTTCTACTTTGACCTGCAACTTATGGTGTTCATGTTCCCCGTGGGACTCTACTACTGCTTCTCGCGCCTCACTGATGAGAACATCTTCATTATCCTCTACGGCGTGCTCAGCATCTACTTTGCCGTTAGTATCCCTATGGCTTCTCTATTTATCTGCTCAAATGTTAACTTTTATTGCCATGTTATTAAATTCTTCCTAGTATTTTTCCTTGAGCTAACTGAATTTCTAATGCACTACCAATGAGACCCGAAATAAGGTTTTCTTATTTCGACCGGTTTCCTTGTATGATTAGAACCAGCTTGGAATTTTCCACTCAAATGTGGTTAAGTGCATAGTTTTTTCTAGGGTTGAATATCCTTACTATACATTGTTAGTGCTGTAATTGTAAGATTTTATTTATGTCACAGGGAGTTATGGTGCGCTTGATGCTCGTGCTGGCCCCTGTCATGTGCATCCTGTCAGGCATCGCTGTGTCTTCCCTTCTCGAAATCTACATGCCTCAGGTTATTAATCTATTTTATTAGCTTAAAGTTCTTTGTAGGCGTATCTACGGCAACTTGAGAAGGCGCCTACCAATGTGAATGTTCAATTTACTAATTGAGTATTGTAATACTGAGAAAGGATCATGTGAAAGATGAGATATTTTCTCAAATTAGATAAGGTAGAACTATCGTTACCTTGCTTAGCTAACGACTATTAACAAAAGTGTAACAAGGAGACTGACTTATAGAATGACTGTTTGCTAAAAGTTTGTTGAAATCTAATAATCTGTGTACAGTTAGCTACAATAAATCCTAACTAAAATCCATAGCACAGTTCTAGTTTCCTCAGTTATTTGGAAAAGGAATGGACAATGCGAATAATTAAAATAACAAATAATTCTTTAAGCTATCCAATTTCAGCGATAAATTCTTGATGCAAAATTTGTTTAAATCCTAATAGTCAAATTTTGAGTACAGTTCAATAAAAAGTGCAGCAACTTTTTTCTTCGGGTATATTGAGTTCTTGCGTCCAATCTGTCAAACTATGGTCAAACTCAAGATTATGAGCTAGGAAAGAAATTATGCACGCATTTCTGAAGATGAATTTACCTGCCTCTACAACATAATTGATAACCTGAGGTGCTCGTCCATATTGATAGAAGAATACGATATGTTGATGTGCAGGTGGACTTGGATTCAAACACCAGCTCTAGCCTAGACAAGAAGAAGGCTAAGCAAGACAGCAACTTCTTCTTCCGTGGCCAGGTTTGTGATCAAAATTTTGGTTGGTCGACCATTGTAAACCTCTTATCATGGTCCTAGTTTGTTTGATATGCCACTCACTATATCGTAATTGCTTCAATTGTCCGTTTCTTGCGTAATAGACAGTCAAGATATCCTAAGATGCTATGGCGTGAAAAGATCGATGCAATGTAAATTCATACAAAGTAGAATAGTATGAACTATAACTATAATTATATTAATTCTACCTTTTTTTCTATGAAATTTATCTTATTCTTTGTGTTCCAGATTGCGACAGGCTTTGTGACTCTGATGTCGCTCTTCTTGATCTCGTACACGCTGCACTGCACGTGGGTAACGAGCGAGGCCTACAGCTCCCCCTCCATCGTGCTCTCTGCCCGCGCCCACGACGGATCCCGCATCATTTTCGATGACTTCAGGGAAGCCTACTACTGGCTACGTCACAACACTCCGGAGGTAAACACTTATTTAATAGCAAATTTCTCATTATTTAACTGCAAATTTCTCCCAAGTGCTTTTCAAATCTCTTCACTCGCGCCCAACTTCTGCAAGTGAAGGGCTTCTAAGCCACACGCGCCAATGATGTCCCAACAAAAATGTTGCAAAATCTATTTCTACTTTCTTTCATGTCCTGTTTCCCATCTCTCCGTTGTGTGCCTGTTTGGAATGAAGTTCGTGCCCAATTACTTGGAGAAACACTGATTGATGAGATCTTGGTTCATGTATTACACTTGAGTTCTCTGATTATTGTAAATAAATTTGAGGTCAATACTGAAAGGGAAATTTCCAATTCAGGATGCGAAGGTGATGTCGTGGTGGGACTACGGCTACCAAATTACTGCCATGGCGAACCGCACCATCCTAGTGGACAACAACACGTGGAATAACACGCACATCTCGCGCGTAGGTCAGGCCATGGCCAGTCCTGAGGACAAGGCCTACGAGATCATGCGAGAACTCGACGTCAATTATGTCCTCGTTATCTTTGGGGGCCTTACTGGATACTCCTCGGACGGTGAGAGCCTTTTTATATGTATTTATTCATTTATTTATATTTTTTATTTTTTGTTGTACTTTAGAAGCAATTTTTAAATATGAATTACAAAATTGCTTCTAGTGTGCAACAAAAAAATGTATTCGGTTGAAGATGGTAAAAAATTCGATTGGTAGATATTTGGCGCCCATGCACGATTTTCATCATGGAATTGCTTGGCACCTTTTTTGAGCTGGTGACGTGAGTTTTGAGTGATCTTTCAACATAATTATCTTTCCTCGCTTTCTTTGGTTTGTATTAGCTGAACTTTACATTTTATTGAGTTAATCTCAATTTTGGACCCTATACATTTCGAATTGTATGCTTTACTATCCATGATGCATGTATTTGTTGACTATACCCACAAGAAACACTTACGTATTGGTTTGCTAGGTATAATCTTTCAATAATACCCCTTATTTCTTTGTTTAAAACGTGTAATTGATACCTGTTTTGATGTTTACATCCTTGCCGTAAATTCTCCCGCAGATCAGAGACCATAAAATAACTATTCTCATTTTTTTTTATTTTTTTATCTTTTATTTTTATTAAAAAATAGAGCAATTATTCGATTAAAATAATTAGACTACTCCTGTAATCTGTAAGTCCTTCCCAATTGTCGATAAAATAGTCTCGATAACTGGTGCATATTTTGTCTCATCCGAGCAGACATCAACAAGTTCTTATGGATGGTGCGGATTGGTGGCAGCACGGACAAAGGCGCCCACATTAAGGAGCACGACTATTACACCCCGGCAGGCGAATTTAGAGTGGACAGAGAAGGCTCGCCAGTGCTCCTCAACAGCCTCATGTACAAAATGTGCTACTATAGATTCGGCCAAGTCTACACTGAAGGAGGTAAGGCACGTGCGTGAAGGACGATGAGGGTGATAATGGAAAAGTCGGTATATTATTTTCTGTAAGCATCATCTACATTGTAAATTACTATATGGGCCGTTTCACTTTCTTACTTTTTTAATTCATATATTGGTATCTCTAGAAAGATTAGAGTTGTCTGTCCCTAGGAAGTCTGCTAATCTCCTGCAAGATGTCGTACCTCTTCAGAAGCCTTGATGGTAAACCGCTTTTGTAAGAGCATTGTTTCTGAGCGCCCATCTCAAAGCTCGCGGACCCAGACTAATAGCTTCAGTTTTATGGCTGACTGTTGTGGCGGCAGATTACATGCTTTCCTTCCACTGTCTCTTGCAGGTGGCCGAAATCTCGTGCTCACGACCTTTTGCAGGAGTTTCTTCGTTTCTGCTGCCATGCTACCTTAATTGTCTCACTGAAACACTAATGCTAATTTTTTTCTCGCCAGCTTCTGCGGGCTATTTATTTCAATCTACCATACTCTTGTGTGTAATAATAATTTTTTTTATTTAAGAAACTGTTTTTGATGGAGACCTTGCACATTGCTGGTGACGGTATTCTCATAAAATTCGGATAGAAATGGCTTCAGCAATTGTGCGTCTGGCGAAAATTTTATTGAGCATTATACTTGTACTTACCAAGCTGCATGCTAACTTTTATTTGGACCTTGAATCTATTTAACATTTTCGCTTATCATCTGGTTCCTATTTGTAGGTAAGCCAGCAGGCTACGATCGCGTGCGAAATGTGGAGATCGGCAACAAGGATTTCGAGTTGGACGTGTTGGAGGAAGCATACACGACCGAGCACTGGATTGTCCGCATCTACAAAGTCAAGGACTTGCCAAACAGAGGTTCATGAAGTGGTCTATTTTATTTCCAGTTTGATTGACTGGTCATGTCAGCCATCGTAAATCCTGATGTAGTTTATTTTCGTGGGGCTTGCTCAAGTTGAGTTGTATCTTAATCCCTTCGTCCTCTCTTGAAATTATCAGCAGGATTCCTTAATTCGACTACTTGACACCATGTGATCGGCAGCGTGATTTCCGCTCTTCTGAGAGTGAGATGGTTGTCTTCTGAAATTGATGGCAGGTGTAATTGTTGCTGTTGTATGACTTTCGGGTTGATTATCCTGGCGCTTTTGAAAACTGCCGACGACGAGGTTGCGTCGCACTTGTACGTGCTGTAGTCAACACCGAAGTTCAGAGTGGCCGTAAATGGGATCACAGTGACTAGAAATGACAAGTGTTCAACAGTTGTTAAAATCCGTATAGGCGCGCGGAATGTGCGGAAACGCTAAAAAGGGGTCTAGAAACCCCATTTTAGAAATAAGTTTTCAAAGTTGAAACTTTCAAACTTTGAAACCTAGCTAAAAAGAAGAATCTCATAGGTCACAGACAACATCACTGCCTGCTTAGTGAACTTGAGATTTTTTTTCTAAGTGCTGAATTATTTCGGGCTTCGGTATTTTGACTTCTCTGTGTACGCTCAATTTGTTTATTCCATCATCGCTTTCACTTGACTGTATCGTTTTGTATCAGTCTAACCTTTCGGATATTGTGCATGCGTACACAAGATGCCCAAGGCATCACCAGCGTCTCATCAGCTTCTAAGATGAATTCATGTTGTTCTAAAAGTAATATTATATATCCAATGACACCCAAACTAATTTATGATGCTGAGAAGTGAAGCAGAAGTGACGGGTTTGACTCGTTCTATGCGTGTAACTCCGATTACTCATCGATCTCAATTACCGATTCTGCCCTACATGATGCCCGACTATTTTGATTTGAATGTTGAAGGCTTTTCATTTTCAGTCACTGTGATCCCAAATATGTTCACTTTCAACTTCATCGCTGTTGTCTGTCAGTACAAGATATGCAACTTATTTGGGCCGTTTTAATTTGGATCTCGACCAAATTTTTTTGCCACTGATAAAGCTGTGTACGCGTCTACATTGGTTAATGTAGTTGTTATTTATTACGGTATTGGAAAATTGACATCACTCGGGCGCTACTCGGTTATATATATGTGATATCTCAAAAAATTCTCGGTATTGATTTTTTGTCTGTGGTGGGCTCTTACCTGCACCTATCCAAACTGTGTGTGTAATTTGTCAAACGTTAAAATCGAAAGTCTATTTATATTTAAAATTATGGATGGATATCAACTGGAACTCGCCGTTTTATTTTTGTGACCGTAATCTTTTTCGAGCGTGTAGTAATTGGGTTCTCTTGACTTTTTTTCAATTAGGATCGACTTCCTAGCACCGTATTTCGTGTTTGTCGTGTCTCAATACGGTGACAATATTTGCATGAACTGCTTTTGGTTTGATGTTTGGTGAAACGTCCTTAATTCTTTATTAACATATCTGAACCGTTGCTCCGTTTTCGTTAACCAGGTGCTACCTTCATTCCTTCTTCTAGTGTTTTAGTTCATGTGCTTATTTTTGAGTGCCCGTTTTAGTTCACTGAAGTTCGTTGTTGTACATGCTACATGAGTATGCCTTGCTCTAAGATGAGCTGACATTCCAGCTTCCTCATGAGTGTACTCATCATTCGGAGTATTAGATTCCTTGTATGATTAGAACCAGCTTGGACTTTTACACTCAAATCTAGTTAAGTGCATAGTTTTTTTTACCTATTAAGTATTTTTCGCGACTAGTGTTTGCGCGTTAGCAACCAGTTATGTAGTTTTCCCGTTTCCTTTATGAATAATTTTGTACCGTTTATTAATCCTTTGTGCATTTATCAACGTCAGTGTGAGTTAATAGTCCGATGGGACGACATTTACCGTCCCTACAGCACGTTTCTGGATTTTAGTGACGTTCTGCACGATGTATGCAGCTGCGCGTTAACTGCGCCTGTATTAAAATGAAACGATTTAGTGATTCACGGTGTTAAGACTCCTATCTGTTGACGGGAAAATTTACTGGGCATTGAGTTGCATTTACTTGAATGTATAATTAAATATATTAAATGATGTTTTGTACTAAAGGGCAATTGAATTTTCGAATATATTATTGATTTGTCTGTTTTTGAAGCAATTACTCCATTTGTGTTACAGCTGCGATCGTAGATTATTTGGTTGGCAGGATTTTGATTGCCGAGTTTAAATATCTTCAAAGGTTTGCGTATTTAAAATATAGATAATTATATACTTATTTGTATTGAGGCGTTGCTAGAATATGTTGGAGTGAACTAGGAATTATTTAATGATTAATTACAAGTTAGCGATGATGTGTCATCTCAGAAAGAATGCTTTTATACTTGACTTTCTTGATGAAACTTTTTCGCACCATGGAGTTTCATTGTACCTTATAAATTACGGTTGACGATGAAGCCTTTTACGAAGGCGCATTATCTTACATAGAATTCTATTGTCCTAATATTGTTCGGTGTGGGAGCGCAGCCGAGCACCACCAATTTTGTGCACCAATAAGCCCTGAATCGAACGCCTTGGATCTCTCCGGACCTACACCAATCAGCCGTGCACCACTCGGCTTTGTCCTCTTCCGGCCTTGACCACCACCTGCCGTGCACCACCAGGCCGCGGATCGAATATGACTTCCAGGCATCGTTACGTTCGACCGAGGGCTGGTTCGACCCACGGCCTAGATACGGACGGCTTGAAGTGTTGAAGGCTACGTTCCGGAAGGCAGGATTCATGATGGTCCATTACATCCAGAGCAGTGGTGGTCTTCGGCAGGCGACCCTTCGGTGTCACACCTTTCTTGGCTGAGAAAAATTGTAATGATAAGGCAATTTTTATAACCAATGTCAAGGTTCTTCCGATAGCAAGTTATTGTCTCAAATATTTTTCTGGCAACTGTACTTGCTACGCGAAGAACCCAGTAATGCGATACGTATTTCGGTATTACATCAGAGAGTTTACCTTGCACTGGTCCTAATGTTTATTTCAATAGAGATTGAGAAATTATCTAGATCGACAGTAGAACCCTTCGCTAAACCGACAAGGTGTCGGGTTTTCCTTTAGTTCAAGTAGATTTCGATGTGAATCCTCTAACATATCAATGCAATATCTGAAATTTGAATTATTCATAATGACAACCGCTGCTCTGCAGCAGCGGACAGACCCCATATTAATTTTCGCTTGAAATATTTTATCAATAGTGTAGTTTTTTTAGTCTACTCTTGCTATGGAAATTACGAAAAAGCGACGCATCATAAGAGAATGGCAAGCCTCTCTGAAATTAATAAAATAATAAATTTCATCTCCATGACTCGGGATTAATATCCCGAGTAGGGGTTAATATCCATGACTGTAGCCAAATACACTTGTATATTTTGGATACTTTGAGACGCTCCATTTTCATAACTTGATAACTTCGAACGAATAAAAAAACCGACCATGATTATTTGCGCTATAAATGGAAGTCTATTTTGCATTAAAAATAAACCGGGTCAAAGTTCTTCAAAGGGAATATCGATCCGTCAAAAAGTAATGCGATTCTTATCGTTCACTTCGCCAGTCTATTTATGCGAAAGGAACACGTGTGGAGCTGCGAGCACCTGCCTTGCACTCGATGAGTAACTGCGTACAAAATGAACATTTCTATAATGAAGATGATGCATATAAAATTTCGATAAATGAAGGTGCATATAAAATTTTGATAAATGGAGAGAGCGCATTTAAAATTTCGAGAAATGAAGACGGTGGATGTGTAATTTTGATAAATGAAGAGAGCGTATTTAAAATTTCGATTAATGAAGAAGATGCATTTGAAATTTCGAAAAATGAAAGGCGGCATAATCAAATTTCGATAAATGAAGAGGGCGCATTTGAAATTTTGAGAAGGAACACGTGTGGAGCTGCGAGCACCTGCCTTGCATTCGATGAGTAACTACGTACAAAATGAACATTTCTATAAATGAAGATGATGCATATAAATTTTCGATAAATGAAGGTGCATATAAAATTTTGATAAATGGAGAGAGCGCATTTAAAATTTCGAGAAATGAAGACGGTGCATGTGTAATTTTGATAAAGTAAGAGAGCGTATTTAAAATTTCGGTTAATGAAGAAGATGCATTTCAAATTTCGAAAACGCGTGTCTGTGCTCGTCAGAAGTCCTATGGGATTTCGCGCTCCTAGGGGGATTGTTCCTGAGCGCCCCACCGCTGAGCTCGCGGTGTCTGACTGTAGGTCTCAGTTGTGGGGTTAAGTTATTATGTAGGCAGGATTCCTTACATTTCCCTTCTCTGTCTCTCTCGTGCGGGCGGCCGACGTCCCGTGTAAGCGACCTCTTGTTCGAGTGTCTTCGTTTCTGTTGCTTTTCACCTGTCCTTCCTTGTCACTTCGTCTCTTTTGAGATGCTATCGCTGCTTCTTTCGAGCCAGCTTCAGCGGGCTGGACAATTGAGACCTTCCGCCCCTTGTGGGTGATGAATAATTGAGACCTTCCACCTCTATGGTGATGTTCATCTTGACTTTCGGTGCGAGATAGCTAAATAGCTGAAGCGCTAGTAAACATTTGGCCACTAAACTAACTAACTCAAATTTCGAAAAATGAAGGCGGCATAATCAAATTTCGATAAATAAAGAGGGCGCATTTGAAATTTTGAGATATGAAAAGGCTGCACAATAAAATGTGGAGGGCGCATGTGGAATTGTGGTAAATTAAGAAGGAGCAGATCTTATGTTAATTTACATATCGAAAGTCCGAGTTTGTTTATTAACGTTCACACCGAACTACCATGCAAGATTTAAACTAGTGAATCTTTCTTTGCAAAACTTACTGGCTTGATGTGTGTTGACTTTGGTGTAGAGCCCCAAGTTTATCATCTTGGCTAAGAATTTTAATACCATTTACGCTGTATTCGTTATCTATTCCATTCTTATCGTGAAAATTCCGAGGAACATAGGCTTAAACTCAACGCAATTGAAAACTCAGAGCCTTCCACGGCGGTGGCGAGTACGAGATTTTTTTGTGCATGCGTTTGTATATTCTGAAATATCTTCATGCTAGTTGTTTATAAAGTAGCACTTATGCAAAAGATGATAATTTTTTTTTATTTTAAATTGGTGTCAGGTTCGTATCAGTAAATTGCCGTATATCGATGTACGTAAATCATATCATAGAATTTGCGCAGAATTTTTAAAGACTTTTCAAGGTGATAAACTTAGCCTATTCACCTCTAACTGGAACAGCGGTCGTTGCAGCTTGTGACTGCCTAGATTATTTATTACCACTTCGGATTTTAATGTCGTAATGTAATATTTAGAATGGCTCATGTATTGCCTAAATGTCGGCCATTATCGTCAGTCTTCATGAACCATTTATGGCGCTGTTAAAATTACTGCACTGGTTTACTAGTTTACAAAAACATCTCAATTGTTCAAGCTTTCCACTGTGGGCAAATGAAGATCTAGCGTGATTCGTAGTTGAAATTATACATCGCGTGTCTTTTTTGTGCTCTGTCGGTAATTTCAAAAACTTTTAATAATTTGATGGCAATCCAGAAGAAACATTGAAGGCAATCCAGAAGAATGGCAATCCTTGTAAACATTCTAAAATTTTAGGCATTGTTTACTACTCTGCATTTGGGTTTTATATTAGTTTAATATAAATGTCCTCTTTTGCGTTCTGCGTGTGTTTTTTTTATGTAATGAGCGAGCTAAAGTAATAGCTCCCCAAGCAGAGGTGCACCAGTCGTGTATTCGCGTCACTGAAATCTACCGTAATCTCGAGTCTCGACTCGATCCGGTGCACTAACATCCTGTGCGCTCTGCCGTCACTACGCCGAGTAAATGACAGATAAACTCATCGGCTTATTTCATAATTGCTTTCTATACTTAGCTTCTAGAATGTAGAATGAACTAAGAAAGGTTTTTAAGAAATGAGGTTGAACATCCGCGAGCAGACTTCATTGTACGATTTGGCCACGGTTAGAACGCTTCTATGTAACGATATCAGCTGTAATTCTTCTGACAGCTCCAACTCCAAGCCGGTCTCCCATATAGTTCAACCATGGGTCTCCCTCCCGCGTATCACTAATATTACATACAAACGGTGACTTGACGAGTGGTATTTGTTGCAATTTTCTTTGCTCAATTCTCCATTAATAACACATGTTAATGTTTGAATGTTGAATGAAGAGTATTACTGTTTGAACGGAAAGGCGGCTTGCTGAGATTAAAGCCAGGGAGGGAGTGTAGCAAATTTGGAATCCGTGCTAAGTAGATCGTCTTGTGTTCGGTGTGAAACATTTGTTTTCGAATTAAATTATTGAATAAAATCGTTCATAACCACATAAGTGTCCGCATAACACCTATACTAGGTAGAACAATTTGCCTTCATGGTGCGTTTCATCATCTCGCTCCAATGAGTAGAGCATACGTTTATTCGTTTTAATTGATAACTGATTTATGTAAAAAATCTGTAATAATTCCTGCCGCATCGTACTGATAATATCTACTCACATCTAAAAACTCGAGCAAATCCGTTCACTATTAAAGGAATTAAGTGTGTCTCGGTTTACCTATTAAAAATACGTTTATTCGTTTTAATTGAAAACCAACTCGTGTAAAAATCTGTAATAATTCCTAAAGCAGCGTAATGATAATAACTACTCACATTCCAAAATTCAAGCAAATCCATTTACTATTGAAGGACTTATGAGTGAGTGTCTTGGTTGATTGAAAAATACGTTTATTAGTTTTAATTGAAAACTATCTCGTGTGAAAATCTGCAATAATTCCTAACACAGCGTAATGATAATAAATACTCACATTCCAAAATTCAAGCGCGTAGTTAGGTTTTGCGTTTGAGTTCACAGGCGGGTCCGCAGAAGTGTCGATTCAGTAACTGGCAAGCGTTCTCTACTGCCTCATGAGTTGCTCCTTATTACATCAGCCGTGGTTCAGATCACGCTGATGCAGCTGCGATTTCATCAGCTCCTGTGATGAAAGCTCATCTGACGATAATTTAAATAATTCATCAGCTCCTCTGATGAAAGAAAAAATAAAATTAATAAATTTATGTCGATATTATTTCAGTGAATTTATGCGTTACACGAAAATAGGAAATTAAACTTAAATTATTACAATACAGTAATGAAATGTTATTAGTTCAAAGTTTACGCTGCGTAATTTTTTTTTTACTATTAGAGAAGCAAAAATAGTTTATTTGCAATTTAAATTAGAACACACAACCATTATGAGTGATGTTTTCATGTCTCAAATTTTAGGCATTCAAATAATTTTAGTCAATTATTCGAGGTTTTTAGTTTAGTCCTACCATTGTGCGACAACTAACGAAGTTTTTTATTAAGTGAAT